TAAAGGCGTGCCAGGTTAGTGAGCCCGCCCCTCCCCGGGGCGAGGGGACGCCGGAGCGAGCCACTCCCGGTCTCGGAGCCTCGACTTCCGCATCCATGAAATGGGAAGGGCGAATCCGACTCCGACGTCCACCCCCTCCCCCGCCAAGCCCCCCTCCACCGCAGCAAGTTGGGAGGATCGAAGAGGGGAATGGATCGGAACTGGATCGCACCGGGCAACTCCCATGATTCTTTGCAGGAGAAGGAGGTCCCCGAGGTCTGGGATCCACCATCTCTAAAAGGCCCAGACCAGTCGGGGACAGAGGCTCCCCAAGCAAGCCCTTCGACTGTGGGCTCCCTGGGGACCGACGTCTAAACTTTCCTCTCCGTGCATGGTGACCTCCCTGCCCTGGCTGGGGTCTCCGTGCAGCCCCTTGATCCTTGTTGTCTGCTAGTCAGTGGAACAGTCTGCATCGGCTCTCTGAAGGTTCCCCCCAAGATTGATACACTGATTCCCTTTCCCACTCTACACCCACTCCATGCCTCTTGCCTCCGCCTTCCTCCTCGCCACAAATTTACAAAGGAGCAAGGACTGGAAGTTGTAGAGTGTGTGGGCTTTCCCACATTAGGAAATTCCCACTGTAGTTCTGGTGTCAGCCCCACCTTCCCGGGGTTCTTACCTCCCTGGTCACTACCTCGGCTTGAGAACTTGGGAACAGGCCACTGGAGGGACCCAGAACACACACACAACCAGTTGGCAGGAGGGGAAGGAACCCTCAATTCAGCAAGAGCTAGGTATGCATCCCGCTAGTATCCTACTGCTAGTGAGAGGGATTAAATGGGACCCATGGAGTGAGGCACTTTGCAAGCACTCTGCTCCACCCCCTCCAGTTCTTTTGCGCTGGCCTCCTCCCCACTGACTATCCTAACACTGCACTCTCCCACCCGCCATATGCCCCAAGCCCACATTCAAATCCAAGCCCACCTGATTTCTTTAAATTCGTCCCCCTGCATATCTTTCTGAGTGGCAAGATGCCCAGAGAGGAAGAGAGACACCCCACATAAAGCCCTTTCTTAGGCAAGGAGGTGGGTGGTTGGGAAGGGACTGGGAGTATGGGCCATGCCAAAAAGAGGCCTGGAGTAAGGATTCCAGACTCCCTGACTTCCCTGCCTCCTTCCTGGGAATTGCTCTTCCTTCTGTCCCCTGAGCCCAGGGCCTGGCTGGGTGACATAAGATCACAGGTGGCTGGATGTTTGACCAGGTCCTGGGGAGAAACTGCCTGGATAGGTAACTCCAAACCCAGAGTTCCAGCACATAAATCGTGGACTGACATCCTCTGGACATGTGTGTATTCAGGTAGAGGGCAGGGGGAGAAGCCACAGATGACTTGGGAGTTCAGGAGGAGTTGGGACCCAGGGTTGGATGTCCCACAGACCTCCTTTTCCCTCCCAGCGGCACCAGACATTCTCAGGGAATGATCTCTAAGCACTCCCTGGCTCAGAGGCCCCAAGTCATGCAGAAAAGTACCAAGGTCCCATGGACCTCTCGGCTTCAGCCCCAGGTGGGCTTCCATATGTTCTCTGGGGATCTTTGGTAATCTGACTCCTCAGCCTGCCTCTTTAGATGGCCCAAGGGTGAGAATGACCCCCCAGAATTGTCTCCATCGCTCCAGGGGTCTGAGTGACCCGAATTCTGATTGTGTTTCATCTCCTGTCTCCTTGGATGGGGCCTGAATTCTTTCTTAAGGGGGAGGGAACAGTGTAAAATTGTTCCCTCTTTCTCGCAGGAGCAAGAACTCAATGTCTGCATCTTCCCTCCATTGATTCCAATTCCTCCAGCCTGCTTCTCCCCATTTCTTGAGCCCCTGTGCCAGGGTTTCCTTGGCCCCGCTCCCTCCCCCCAGGGGAGAATGCTGGGCAATAAGGAGGCTCATTTTCTGGAGAAGGATTGGGTATACACTCGCTCAGGGACCAGCTCTTCCCAAACCCCCACTTGCCTTGGAAATGAGGGCCTAAACCCCAAGCCCCCCCGAAACTCAACTCACAGCACGTGGAGAGGAGTGTAGCCGGCAGCAGAGACCCCCTGGGGGATGGTGTCCATGCCCCTGACACAGGCCCACTCCTGGCTCCCTTGGAGGGTGGGAGCCAGAGACACTGATGTTTCTCCTAAATGTAGCGGCAGCTCTGACTAGGACTTGCTATCTGTGTCATCCCTACTTCCCAGGCTCCCCTGCTTCTCTCCTGTTTCCACAGCAACCAGTCTGGCTCCACAGCATCCCCTCCCTTTCCCAGTCCTGGGTACCACTAGAAGCTGATCCACATGCCATTGCTATTTTTAGCCAAATTCCCTCCTCCTGGACAGCTCACAGCTCGCCTCCTCACCCCTCAGGAAAAAAATAAATAAAAGAAGGAAAACGAAAGCTGGCATGCCGGTTCTTTACTAAGAAGCTCCTTGCTCTGAGGGCCGGGGGCTGGGGGAGTGGGTCCAAGTAGATTTAGGAATAAGGAGTTTGGGTTCCTGGGGGATTCAGGAGCGGACAGCTCATCACCTGCAACAGGTGATGTTGGGTGCAGGCTTTGGGTGCAGGTGTCGCTCCTGGGACAGGTCCACCAGTCCAGTCTCCACTTTTGGTGAGCCCTCCCTGGCCCAGAAGGAGAAAGCTAAAGGGAAATGAAGCCCATTTAGGGAAGGAATGTGGAATTGTTGCTTCTGTCCCCGGAATAAGGACTGGGGGTGGTAGTCATAGTCATAGATTTGCCATGTGACCCACGGCACTGTCCCTTCCCTTCCCTGCTACACAACTGCTCAGTCTATGTGCAGACAGCTCCTTTCCGCCTGCACCAGCGTGCAGAGCAAACAGAGCGAGATAAACAGGGCTTCAAAATGGATTTTGTTAATAGCAACAAGGCGAGAGGGAGCCCAAATGGCCAACAGTGGGAGAAGTCTAGTCTGGGGCTTATTAACTATTCCTTCACAGACTTTTATGGACCCCACCCAAATGATAGGCAGTGAGTGTGCTAGGTGACCGGAGCCCTGGTAGACATTGGGCTGTTAACTGCAAGGTCAGCAGTTCGAAAGCACCAGCTAGAACAGATGAGACTCTCTACTCCCAGAAAGGGTTACAGCCTCAGAAACCCACAGGGAGAATTTTACCCTGCCCCACGGGGCCACTATGAGTTAGAATCAACTGATAACGTGAAGCCCTGGTTTCTCTTCCCTTCTGGCTACAGAAGAACAAGACAGCCTCTGCCTACAAGAGGCTCAGGGTCTGGTGGAGGCGAGAGATGCACAACAAGAATGTATTCAGCATTAGTTGTGAACTAGACACCCACAACCAAGACCTAACCCACTGCCATGGGGTTGCCTCTGACCCCCACCCCCACCCTTTACAGGAACGGAAAGCCTCCTTTTTCTCTTGCAGAGGAGTTGGTGAATGTGAACCGCAGACCTTGTGGTTAGCAGCTCAACGCCTTTCCCACAGCGCCACCAGGGGTCCTTTGAACTTGAATCTCCATGACATGTCTATCAGATAGACATTATTATCCCCACTTACAGATGAGGACATGAAACTAGAATGTTCAGGTGCTTTACCCAATGTCTCGGGCATGAGGCAGGCCTAGGAGTCACAGAGTGACACTGCCTCTGTAATACAGTATCTGTGGCATATCGATGAGACAAACCCACTGCCACGGAGTTGATGCTGACTCATAGCAGCCCTTTAGAGGGTTTCTGAGGCTGCAAATCCTAACGGG